ATCAGGGGGTGTGGGGCATTTTGTTATCAGTATGCTGATGACACCCAGCTCTACATCTCCTTTCCACCTACTGCAGGAGATGCCGTCCTGTCCCTTCAGCCTTGCCTGGAGGCTGTACTGCAATGGATGCAGGAGAATGGGTTGAGCCTGAACCCGGACAAGACGGAGGTGCTGAGGGTGGGTGGCCCCGCCATTGGTGACTTGGGAAACTCCCTCTCTATTTTTTGGGGGGTGACTCTCACTGCTAAGAGTGAGGTTCGCAGCTTGGAAGTACATCTGGACCTGGCACTCACCATGGAGACCCAGATGGTGTCAGTGGTCCACTCTGCCAATTACCATCTGTGGCGGATTGCCCAGCTGTGTCCCTATCTTGATGGTGGGGCACTCACCACTCTGGTCCATGCGCTTGTAATCTCGAGATTAGACCACTGTAATGCGCTTTACATGGGGCTACCTCTGAGGTTGATGCAGAAGCTTCAAATGGTGCAGAATGCAGCAGCCAGAATATTTAGTGGAATGAGAAAATTCCAACATATCTCTCCCATTCTGGCTGCTTTGCATTGGCTGCCCATTCGCTTCCGCATTGATTTCAAGGTTCTAATAATGACATTTAAAGCCCTAAACAGTTTAGGGCCGTGATACTTGGCAGAACGCCTTCTCCCACCTAGATCTACTCGAGTCATTTGTCATAGTCAGGAAGGGCAGCTGAGGGGCCTGATGCCGAAAGAGGCCCGGAAAGAAAAAAACAAGAAACCATAAATAAATAATTTTATTACTGTAGCTTAAATGTTGCTCTTAAATGTATATTCTAAAGATTGTTATTTTATTTTTAATAGATGAATATATGATATTTTGTCATTAGAATTTTGAGCTGAAACAGTTGAAAAAAGGAGGCACATGGACAAGCGAAGTAAACACAGATGAGGTGAACTGGCCGACAAAAAGCTTAAATGTTGCTCTTAAATGTATATTCTAAAGATTGCAAGATTATTTTTAATAGATGAATATATGATATTTTGTCATTAGAATTTTGAGCTGAAACAGTTGAAAAAAGGAGGCACATGGACAAGCGAAGTAAACACAGATGAGGTGAACTGGTATCCCCGACAAAAAGTACATTTTGCCAGGAGGAAGTTAGCAGGTGCTAATCCTGCTGTGATCACTAGGTAAATGCTTTTCTTTGAAATTTTTGGCATGCATACGAGAGACAAATGAAAGGACAGTGGCTGCCTGAACAATAGGAATGATATTTTAATGTTTTTATTTTAGCTTAAAGTTAATTTGATAATGTGTGGCTTGTCTTTTCATGAAACAACTTGATGTTAACCTCCAAAATTAAACATAATTTCCTGCATTTTTCATTGCTTCATACCTTTTTAAACATGAATGGCTATAGGAGTAACATATAGTAGCTGATTTCCAGCAAAAAACAAGAACAGTTCAGCATAACTAAGAATACAGTGGTGCCCCGCAAGACGCTTACCCCGCATGATGCCGAAATAGCTTGACGATAACTTTTTGCGATCGCTATAGTGATCGCAAAAAAATTATCCTATGGGGGATTTTCATTTAACGACAGTTAGGTCCGTGCTTCGTGAACCAATTGTTCGCAAGACGACAATTTAAAACAGCTGATCAGCGGTTCGCAAAATGGCTCCCCACTGTTTTCTGGACCAATTTTCACAAGACAGCGATCGCAAAATGGCCACCCTGTGGAGGATCTTTGCAGGACGATCAGGTATTTCCCCCATTGGAACGCATTAACCGTTTTTCAATGCATTCCAATGTTTTGTTTTGTTTTGTTTTCGCATGACGGCAATTTCACTGTACAGCGATTTAAACAGAATAGATTATCGTCGTCATGCGGGGCACCACTGTATTGAGTGCCTACTTAATTCTTTCTGTTTCTGTTTTTTAAAGACAGTTTTTTTTATTTACAACTTATTTCAGATCTTGCTTTTCATAGTTTTAAATGTACAAATAATGCATATCTTTCACCTCTACAAAGAACTTAGCCAACAACTGCTTCAACCTGTAGTGAGCCCTGGCAAAACTGAAAATTGACCACTTGTGTGTAGCTTTCTGAAAAAACACTGAAGTGTTGAAAATAAATGAATTAATTAATTTACCATTTTATGCTACGAATGCTTTTTCACAAACCCAGAAGCTTAATGTAGCATCACAGTTTGCTGGAAACCATTTCCTATAATTTCTGTAAGGAGCAATTGCAGAAAACATCTACAGAAAACAGTTGAAATGGAATTCAGTTTGTATCATTCTAATGAGAGTCTGTGTTTCTTTTTGTAATTTTCTGCTATTTTTTTTTTTTTAAAGCGATGAATTAAAGTTGGGACATGAGAAATCAGGTGTATGCAAAGATTATATATCCGTGGCAAGAGGAAGCAAAGAGCACAACATTCGAGCCAGAGAACCAGAGGAAGATCTTTCAGAAGAAACGCAAGTGAAGTGCCTGATAGACCAAGCCACTGACCCAAATATACTTGGCAGAGTTTGGGAAGGATGGGAGCCTTGGATGTGAAATTGAAACACGGAATCAAGTTGAAGGAGACATGAAGACTATCTGGCCTCTGGTCTTATAAGAGTGTTGTTGATCCCGTCATGACATCTGGACATCATAAAGCACGCGTGCACACACACAGAAAACAGCTGCTTCTCAAGAGATACACATTCATCTTTGTCTGTACTGAGCTTTTGTTTCATCTTATATTAGCAAAACAAAAAAAGCCATCTTTCTGTGGTGTGGAAGCCATGAAAAAACTCAGATGAACACAATATTTTCAGCAAAGAAAAAACTCAGATGAACACAATATTTTCAACAAATACCTGTACCTTATCTAGAGGACCTTTTTAAAGAAAGTTACATAGGCTGCTTGCTCATCAATTGCTGGACTAGAATTTCATCTTGATTTTTTTTTTTAAAAAGTATAAATACGGAAAGGAAAAGAAAAAACCCAGTTTTGAACACAGTAGATAAATTTATAATAAAATGACTTTTAAAAAATGTTTCCAGTTGTACAGAAAACTGTACAGAACAGAGCTCAACTGTTTGTATGTTAATCAGTAAAGAAGTTGTCATGATTTGAGAGTGATGTGCGTGTCTCTTCAGGACATAACTTCTGTATGTATGACTGGAGAACTAAAAAAAGCTGCACTGAAGTTGCAGCAAGAACTGCAAATCTCACATGAGCTTGAAGTGAGATACCAGTTTATCCTTTTATTCCTTCCTTCCTTCACTCACTCACTTTACCATTCTGGCATACAGGTCAAAGTTCCCAGTTTGTAACTTAATCAGGTCTTTAATTATAATATACACATAGACATCTTTCCAATGAAAAAATCTCTTGTAGAAATGGTATAATTGTAATTACTTTAAGATTCCAGTGGTTAGTCAGGGAGATTTTAAAAATAGACATATGACTTAAATGTCCAAGGTTACAGTACATCCCCCTACGCCACCGCCTTAGTACTACTAGATTTTAAAAGCACTGCCTCTGTTGTTTCTAGTGCTGCTGATTATCCCATGTATGAAGAGAGAGCAGCCTGCATCCATTTAGATGTGCTGAGTTTAACCCCCAACATTCCTCACTGGTTTAAGTGGCAAGCTGCTGGTTCAGCATTACAGTCCATTTTTCTACAAATCTTACTTGCACCAGATAAATGGTACAAGTTATAACAACCAGATAACTGCCTATCTGGTTGAAAGCAAATAGTTTTACTTCCCAAATAAGACAGCCGTTTCTACATACTCAGGGGTTCATTAGAAGAGGTCTGGGGAACATGTGGCCCTTTCTGTGCTGTTACACTGCACATCCCATCATACCTTAGGTAAAGGTGTTTTCCTTGACATTTTTAGTCCAGTTGTGTCCGACTCTAGGGGGCGGCGCTCATCCCGCTTTTCAAACCATAGAGCCAGCGCCTGTCCTACGACAGTTTCGATTGTCACGTGGCCAGCGTGACTAGGGAACGCCTTTTTACCTTCCCACCGAGATGGTACCTATTTATCTACTCGCATTTACATGCTTTCAAACTGCTAGGTTGGCGAGGAGCTGGGACAAAGCGATGGGAGCTCACTCCGTTGCGTGGATTCGATCTTACGACTGCTGGTCTTCTGAGCACAGGCTTCTGCGGTTTAGCCCACAGCGCCACCACGACCCCATCATACCTTACCCTTAGCTATTTTGGCCACTTCTTATAGACCAGCTTTGGATGGCCACAATTATGCATACCTGAATAACTATATCAGATGTATACCAATTAGGAGAACTGTTTTTTATAATGCAGTCCCTACTCCAGCCTTCCAAATATCTGTGCGTTTCCATTTAATGATTTCTGGGGATGGGTTTGCCCTGCTCAGAATCCTAACACTTCCAAGCAGATCAGTGAAATCTTTGCCCCACCAAACATTTTCAACTACAACTCCCATAATCACATACCCCTGGCCAAGTAGAGAAGGCCAATAGAACTTAAAGACTGAACCAAATGGAAAAGGGGATTATACACCTTCCCTGTGCTATACAGGGTAAGTCTAATGGGGTGTGTTTTCCTGTACACCCATTTGTATATTTTAACTGTTAATCCTGCTGTGCACTAAATTTAGTCCAGTGTTACAACGGAACATTAAGTTTTCTTGCATCAGTGCCACAGTGATCCTCTTTGCTGAGTCTTTGGCTGTGCAACATCAATTTATCTATTCACTGGTGTGGATCTGCATTTATTCGGGGTTTTTCCCATCCCCCCAAAATTAGTGACACCAGGAAGAAATCGTTTTGGGCCAGTGGAAGAAATCTGCTACTGTAACAGACATGAACACATCCTACACACACTTGCCATTAAAGGCTATTTGAGCCATTTTGTGTGGACACAGTTTCCTTCAGTGGTAGCCCTGGCACATTCCCAGTCAATATCAAAGGGCTATCTGTATGGAGACATCTCTCTCCCTATCCATTATAAAAGGGTTTTTGTGATGGATGACCAACCAGAAATCATTCAGACCCAGGGACTGTGATGATTGTTGCCCTATAATCATCTCCAGGTGATAGGCCGAAGGATAGCCAAACACTATTTTTCATAAGTTCTGTCCTTAGGTAGTACAGTGGACCCTCGACTTACAGACGGCTCGACTTACAGACTTTTCGAGTTACAGACTTCTTTGGCTGCAAAATTTAGTTTCGACTTGCAGCCACAGAATCGACCTACAGACCAGAAAAAAACAAAAATGGAACAAAAACAGCTGGTTAAGGGATTAATCGGTTTCCAATACATTGTAGGTCAATGGAGACTTGACCTACAGACTTTTCGACCTGCAGCCACTGTTCCAATACGGATTAATTCCATAAGTAGAGGGTCCACTATAATTCCCTGCTGGCATGCAAAATCCCTGCTCACACTTTTATCTGATGGATCCCATTCTGTAGAAGTTGCTTCCTTTCCAAGCAGTGATTCTGACAAACTCCTGTCTCACAAAAGGACCAGTGGGATCAGATGAAAGCTTAGCAGTATCTTCCATGTTCATGGCAAGGTGGTAAACACAGCCCTCTAGATGTTGGATGCAACTTCCATCAGTTTTAGCCAGTGTGGGTAGTAAAGAATGCTGGCAAGAGCTGTAGTTCAACAATACCTGCAAAGTGACAAGTTTTCCACCCCTCTTCTAAGGTATAAAAGACACGAAGGAACTTAATAAAAACCTTAAGTGGTTTGCTATGAAAACAGCTTAAAGATTGATTCTTCTTCGTGGCCTCTGTGAATGTACACAAATGGGTTGTTCTGCGCCTGCGCAGGATGTCTCAGAAGTTTGTAGAGCTTAAAAACACGTGATTAGTAGGATATTCCCCCTGTGGAGCGCATGCTCCACCCACCCAAGGTCCTCTCAGTTCCTTTTAGCCGCCGCATAGGTTAGACCTATATCGGACCACTACAGCAACTTCTTTCAAATCGGTACTCTGTACCTCACCCTTCTTTCTCATCTACCTTTCTGTTTTCAATCAACATTCTCCCATAAGTTATTTTTCTTTTACCCGTTTTAGTTTTATCCCTTTTTATTCGCTCCTTCACTCTCCAACCTATCCCCCCTCACCCACCATTCCCCTTCCCTTCCGGCCTTTTGTGGCCTCTCCAGCGCCATTCAAGCGGTGTGTGCTCTGCACTAATAAGATCTTGCAATCCGACGGACACGATTGCTGTCTTTTCTGTTTGGGTGAAGAGCACCAGACACAATCTTGTTCTGCATGCGAGAGGCTCACTAAACCAGCCTTGAAACTTCGGCTTCAGAGACTTAGATCTCATCTCTGGGAGATATCTCTTCACCCTCCATCCACATTGATGGAACCTACCTCATCACCAGTTCCACGCTCTGAACCATCCAAGTCAATGTCGAGCCCGATGCTGCCATCACCAGGGCAGAAGGAGCAATCCAAATCGACATCGAGACTGAAGTCGATATCAACGTCGAAAGTCTCTGCTTTCCAGGCTACAAGCGTTCCTAAAAGAAGAAAGTAAAAGTGCAAACCCCAAAAAATCTAAAAAACTCTCCAAGACCCTCCGCGTGGAGCAACCTCCTCCATAACTTCCTTCTCCAATCCTGGAAGAATCATCCAGGGACACTCACAATTCTCCTTTACCGAGAGATGATCACTGTATACCTCCTGCACAGGCTTCCGTATCAGTGAGTAGCCCTGCTCCCATATGATCCTCCATAGGGAGAAGTCATCTATTATCAAGAGCCACCTCGTTACCATTATAAACTCCCTGAATACCACTACCAACCTCGGTATCACAAACAAGGCAACTACAGCGTTCCATATTACCCATCCTATGATGCATATATCCAAGAGGACATACCAGAACAGATCCCCTACGACAAGCTTAAGAGGGTGCGCTACACAATACCGTACCAGGCATGACATTTTCCTTTGGTATCCCTGCCTCCACCTCAACACTGACATCATAAACCTTCTTCACACGCTCCGCCTTCTGAACAAATCGCTTCCTTAGAACCATCTCGTAAACATCATGACACCTTACCAAAACATTCAACATCAAAACGATCTCAACATGAGCCCACACCACCATCGGTATCGCAACATCATCGACCCTCAGTTCAAGCCACCACTACTTACAAGGAGCCACCACCTCCTCTCTCTGATCCCAGCAGATCGCAACACATCAGACCTCATCAACCTGCCTCTCCCTCCACTTCATCTTCAACAGATCAAGATTCTCACTCCAGTATCTCTCAAGAATCTCCATCTAACATACCTACCCCTGGATTGGATGTGGCTGACAATCACCCTCCTTCTCCATCAGAGGATTTCACCTCCTATTCCCAACTCGTTATGAGGATGGCCAAATCCCTGGAACTCGGTCAAAGAACCACCACCACCCAAGCAAGATTTGGTCTTCGAGTATATAAATCAGGATAAAACACCCCCGCTTAGTCTTGCCTTCATCCCTGCAACGCTAGGCTTGGTCAAGGAATCCTGGGACAAGCCTCCTTCATCCCTACAAATATCAAGGAGAGTGGAGAATCTTTATAAAACACATGGTACTGACACATATTTCCTAACAAAGCACCCTACTCCTAATTCTATTATTGTGGACTCAGACCAATCCAGGGCTCGAAACAAATCATCGGTCTCCCCAACAAACAGGGAAGGTCGAAAACTAGACATTCTTGGGAGACAACTCTACTCCCGACCTCTTTCCTGATGAGAGCAGCAAATTATCAAGCAGCGAGGGGAACATGCCATCATCAATTATGGAATAAAGTTCTCCCTATCCTTC